TACTCTCCTCAACTATTTTCCTTCATACACACATTACCTATTCAAACAGATAAAATACAAAATAAAGTTAATGTGGCAAGGTTGTCCTACAGTCTGTCTCTTCCCTCAACAAGCTTCCACTAAAATAAACCTTATGACCTAACTGCTCTCTCAGTCAGGAATAGTCACTTTCAGGCTCAGTGCAAGGGCCATCTCCTAGAAGAATTCTTTTGACACTCCACACCACACCCACCCTACAGTATAACTGACCCCTTCATGCCCTTCTACGATTATACTTTAAACAAGTCATTGTCTCTGTTTGTTCAGCTGTCACCTCACTAGGCTAAATGTCCCCTGAAAGTGGGGACTTGAATTACTCAACCAGGAAGCAGCCAGCACAGACCCCGGCACCTGACAGACAGGTGGCAAATGTTTGCCAAGCTCACGAATACCATGGCAAGAGTCTAGTACAGAACTCGGAAGGAAATGTATATGTATGGCCCCTGATTCGTTGTTTTTTGTTTGTTTGTTTTTTTAACAGAAATAGCAGACTCCTTCCTCCCTTACTGTTTGAGCCAAGGGGAGCCTAAAATCTGACCAAGCGCAGAAGAGATGGGATGATGGAGAGGAGGGTCTCTGCAAAACAAAAAAGAGAACCAGTAAGTGGAATAGTCAATGGAGTGCTTCTATGCAAGGCTGGGCCAAGGCTTCTTGCTTCAGAAATAATACAGAAAAAAGCTAACCTCCAAAATTGCAGAGCATTGCCTACAACAGGAAAACCCAGCTGCTGTGGAGAAAGGGTAGCATAAATCTAATCATTTTAAGAAATGATCAGGGGACCAGCAGTTAGCATAATGGCTGTATTGCTGGACTCCCATGTAGTTGACTGTGTTGCTGGACTCCCATGTAGTTAAGCCCAGTGGCTTAAAACTCACGCCAGGCAAGTGGGCATGCATGCTCAGGATCCTGAGAGGAGAATGGAGGAGAAGGGATTGCAGTGTGGCCATCTCCCCTAGAGGGTGATTTCTCGCTTTCTGTCTCTTGTCTTTCTGACGAGCACACATGCCCTAAAGCAAAAACCTCTCTCCCCCCCCCAAAAAAAGAAACAATCTGCTTTGGGGTCAGCTGGTGGTATAGTGGGTGGGCCACTATATGGCCAACTGTGTGGTTTGAGTCTCAGACCCAGTGCCTTGAAAAACACACTGGGGCATGTGTGTGTGTGTGCGCACCTAAAATCCCAAGAGGAGAATGGAGAAGGGACTGCAATGTGGCCATCCCCCCTAGGGGTGGGGGTTGCTTTCTCACCTTCTTCTGCTCTCGCTCTCTCTCTCTCTCTCTCTCTCTCTCTCTCTCTTGCAAGCAGAGAGAAAAAGAAAAAAGAAAGAAATGATCTGCTTCAAATATATAATTTTTTTTTTAAAAAAAAGCCTTTCTATTAATTGTAGCTTTAGTAAACCAAGTGAAAAGAGAGATGTTATTGTAACAAATTAAGACTAGGTAATCATTGTCCATCAAAAAATACTTGGGGGGGGGGGGACAAGCAGATGGCATAACAGTTACATCACTGGACCCCCACCTAGTCAACCACAATTTGAGTTCCAGACCCAGCGTCTTAAAACTCATGCCAGACACATATGTGTGTGTACGCCAAAATCCCAAGAGGAGACTGGAGAATGAATTGCATCATGGCCATCCCCCCAAGAGGTGATTTCTTACTTTCTGTCTCTCGGTCTCTTTGATGAGTGTAGACACCCTTTAGCAAAAAAAAAAAAAAAGGCAAAAAAACTGAGGGACAGACATTGGTGCAATAGTAAAATGTTACACTCTGTAAGGCAATACCATGGTGTGGAAGGTTCAAGTCCAAAGACCTCCCTGAGGCTGCTGTCATGTGAGGACACAGTGAGAAGACACCTGTATACACAACGCCCATGATCCAGGACTGGATGAGGCTGGGGGTGGGTCAAGGGATCCAGACCCTATTAGGGGTGCTGTCTCACTCATAGTAGAAATAAATAAACTTAAAAAAAAAATCTTAGAAAAGGAAAAAATACTGAGGCTAAAACTTTGTTTAAAAAAAAAAATCATTTCACCTCAGTATTCCCTTGGTATATTAGTGACCACTTCCGCTAATTTAAAAAAAGTACCATCAAAGAGGAACCTGGAACTGAACATTATTTCTAAAGCTAGCACTCACTCCTCCTCCTAAGGAATGACACACCAAAATTCAGAAGTGAGACCAGAGGAAAGGACCTGGGCTGACTTAGACCCACATCTGCAAACTGGCAGGTCATGAGGCTCTCTGGTTTCCACTTCTAAAAAGGCTAAGGTCCTTCTCGGCCATAGACTTCTTCACCACTTCCATATTTCTTTTTGCATAACCCATCTCTTCCTCCAGGAGCCAGCTTTCCCCTCTAAACAGCTGAGGAGTTGCTGTGGGAAACCTGCATTCACCCTTCTGATTTAGGGAACTGGTGCAGCTGCCCCAGCATTATGTGGCAGCAGGAGGTCCCATGAGCTGGACTGTCAGCCCCATGAGGGCTGGGGTTACCTCTCTGCACCCAGGGCATTCAAATTTAGTGACTGTACCCTGCTGACTGTGCTGTCACAGACACTCATTTCCTGTCCTGGAGATCCCCTAAGGAAGAACACTGTCCTCAAGTCATGGCTCTGACCTTGGGGAAGCCACTTCTCCATCAATGCCTGCTTCGTCCTTTGTAAAACAGGGCTGTTCCTTGCCACTAGGCTTTGATTAGGCTCCAGAAGGACAAACCATGAGGAAATGCCCTATAATCTAGAAAGACCCACAGTTTCTGTGAGAGAACTTCAAAATATCTGTAGAAAAATGGAGTTGGTGTTTATTTTGGTGCATAAATACTATTAAATCCAGACACAGTTTTTTCATAATATGCATTTCCCATGAACTGAGTGACAAACTCCTGTATTTAAAGTCTTAGCCAGAACTCATGACACCAGAGCACTATCTGAGAAGATGCCTGTAAAAATGACAATGATAAGCAAGGCAGACCTCTGTTGTTGAAGAGAACCTACAATACGAGTCCAAAATTCCTTGCTATTGTTGCTACAGAGGCTAACCCAACAGCCTGCCAAGACTGCAAGAACTCTGGAGTCACCTTCAAAAATAGCTCTGGGGATAGGGAGACAGCAGCAGCGGTTGGGGCCAGGTGACACAGTCAGGGCATCCTGCTCCATTGGCAGCTCGGGCCCAGATCTCCTCAGCCTGGTACCTGGCTACATTGGGCCTGACCCCTGCAGAGAAGGTGGTGAATGCTGCAGTCCTTCAGAGGTACAGGGTCATCTCTCACTCCTCTGAGCTCTCCTCTGTGGAGGTAGGAGGGGCCTGACTCAGCCAAGCTTGGCTCCCAGGCACAGAGTAGATGAAATTAGCCTCAGTCTATGTGTGATTTTTCAGACAAATTATTTCCAAAGCCATGGTTCACCTGTCCACTGGTTAGGAGAGAGAACAGTAAAGATAAAATCAGCATAAATCCTTGTCTTGTCTCAGACCAATCTAGAAAGAAGATGGTATGATAAATGGAGGTGAGAGTCTAGAACAAGATATTAACCATCTTCCCCAACCCTGATGCTGCCACATAATAGGAGGGGACAAAGAACAGTTCAAGAGCATGAAAAGACTTTAGCCACCTAACTACATTTCATAATGTAGTAAGTCTTTAACACTTTGAAGTCCAAAGTTCCCCAGTGGGGCGTGATAAGAGAAATGACTAACATGCAAAGTTACCAAGGTCCTCTTTCTTTCTTCTGTGCCATGTCTCCCCTCTTTAGTCTCCCCACCCCAAAATGGCCAGGCTATGCCATCAAAAGATATCTAGGCCATGTGTGGTAGTGCACACTGGATGCTGCTGCTCGGCAGGTTGAAACCCCATGGGAAGCCCGAGTTGGATTCCCAGCCCACCCAAAAGCCAGGCATCGTGGCATGCACTGTGGTCCCAGCTACTGGGGAGACTGAGGCAGGAGATCTGTGGCCCAGTAAGACACTGCCTAAAATACACATACACACACACACACATACACAACATGGAAAAAAGAGATTTAAACATTTACTAGATCTTAATCCCTCCTATTTCTTTCCCCACACGAAAAAAAGACAAATGAAGTTACTTATAAATGCCTTCTGTTTTTTCTCCCTGTGGATCAATGGATCCTTCTACTCTAACCTCTGTATCTTCTTCTTTCCTTTGTGCCACTAACACTGTGAGTGCACAAACTCTTCAATGGGACGCTAAGATCCTTTTGAGTCAGAAGGTAAACTTATCCATTTCTCTCTCTCTTTCTTATCTCGTGAAGGAAAAAAAAACTTGAGAAATCTTTTATACCCTACAAACCAGTTATCCTCAGTTTTCTCTCAAGCCACCTAAGCTACTGAATGGTATCAGAGGATTTTTTGTATTGCTTTGATATTCCTTGTATCCCTATCTCATTCCGCAAGAATTGCTCACCACACCATCTTAGGTATCACACCTTCCCCCTACATTACTTGCCAAGCTTCAGGCAGCAGGCACACACCATCTGTCCCTGAGCCGTCTCCGTAACAGTCTCCAGCATCTCTCTTCTAGAACCTACCAGCAAGATGTCGGCAGGCACACTACCACCCGAACCTGGGCCTTTTCCGTAACAATCTCCAAATCTCTCTTTTACATGCTAACAGCAGGATGACTACAGCAGGAACTGAAACACAGAAGATGACACTGAGTCTCAGCTCCACTATGGAATGGGAGTTTGACCGCCAGCAAATTGGTCTTCCTGGTGCTTAGGGGTGGAGCTGGCTGATCCCCAAATGACCTTTGAGTTCTAAGGAATCTGGATGTCTTCAGGGGAACAGGAGGAGCCCCGAAGGTATTTCCTCTGAAAATATTCCAACTGGAAGGAAGAAATGTGAAGGCCATTGCATTGTTCTGCATGAGCAGCCCTCTCCCCTTACCAACCGAGCATGTAACTTCCTCTGCACTGCAGCAAACCCAGAAGAGTCCACTTTCCCAGTGAGAGCCTAATCAATCCATCAGCACATTTGTATGGGCCATCGTACAAATTGTTCCTAAAGTGCCTTCCAAAAATAACAAACATCTACCCAAAAACAAAACAAAACAGCCTCCACACACACAAGGATCACGGCAGAGCTGCAGGGGCCCAGGAAGAAAAGGAGAAAAAATGTGTGAGAGAAGGGCAGAAGAGAGAACAAAGCTCAAAGACAGGAGAGAAAAAAGAGTGGAGAGGCAGAGTGCCTGTGAGCAAGAACTCAGCCTGCCAGAAATTCCAACTGAAGGCTGGAAACCTCTTCACTAGTCCCAGCTTCACCAGTGACTGATAAGCTGACCTGGGACAAGATGTTTCCTCATGGGGAGAGCAGAACAGTTCACTTAAGTATCTCTCAGGAAGACCGGGATCTTAGGTTCTGGCAGGCTGGGCCGGAATCTGGTTTGCTTGGGTATTGTTAACTGCGTACTCTAGGGCAAGTCATTTTTAGTTCTTATCTATCAACTGAATAAACAATCTCACCTCACTGGGTTGTCGTAAAGTGAAAATGAGATAAATATGAGAGATACAGGACAGTGTCTGAAACAATGAACACTCAAACTCATGCTGGCTCAGCCCCTTCCTGCTCTAACAAGCTGTGTCTGACACTCAGTAGACTTCCAAAGGTCATGGTTTCAGCTGGTCTGGAAACATATGCCAAGACTAGGCTCAAAACACAACAGTTAGTTTAGACAAAAAGAACAACATGTTAAACAAGTGAACCCCCAGATCATTTACCACTAAATTCTTAAAAAAATAAAATGCGCAAGGCACTTAGCAGCCCCCTTCAATAAAATAACTATATTTATGACTAAAATATTAGGTTGTTGGAAAAGTTATGATGTATTTTTCTATGAAAAAATGCATCATGATTTTTCTGATGACTCAATAATATTAGTCTCAAGGGGAACTAAGGAATACTATACACACACACACACACACACACACACACACACACACACACACTCATTTTCACATTAAATAGGTGATTTTACCCTTATTTTACAGATAAATGGAATCCAAGGACCCCTAAAAGTCTTTCCTCCCATTCCTCTCCTGAAAAGGATTGCTCTTTTGTTTTCCAAATAAACGAGCAACTTAGTTCCATTTCTTCTGAAATACTCATCACTTTATCCCACAGGTAAGACAAGAAATCTCTACTGACCTCATAGCATCACTGTCTGGCCCTCAATGGGACAAGCAATCATATATAACCCTTTTACTTAACTCTTGTATGCTGCACTCTACAGGTAGTAAATTCCTGAAGAGACCACCAACTTGGCTTTTTCTCTGTGCCCCAAAATATTCAACAAATACTTGTTGAATGAAGCAGGAAAAAAAAAAAGATATCATTTGTGTATAAAATACAGGAGGTAAAGCAGCAGCAGATATAAAACTGGAGGAAAAAGGGTATAAATCCTCAAGTTTTGGCTAGGCAGCAAAACAGATGTTTGGCAGAGCAGCTGTAATTGGTTCCTAGACCCCAGAGATATACCCTTTGTGTTATCACGTTCTTCTGCTCAGTGTCTACCACCGCTGAGTGGAACAGGTTTCAATACCCATTTGGCAAATAAAGCCTGGAAAGCTGATTTGCTAAATCTGTCTTCTTAGGGCTCTATGTTCCCAGTGACTATACTGTAATTCAGCAAATATTTACTGGCTTTCTTCTGCGCAAGGCTCAGGTGATCTGAGAGATGAAGTGGGACACAGTTCTTACACTCAGGGAATTCAAATCTAAGTAGGAAGAATTACATATATCTACCTAACTGACAAATTACTAGGGCCCCAAAGAAGATTTTAAAAAAAAATAGTACTGACAAAACAGAGGCGATAGGAACAAAGACTTATGATGGGGGCAAGGGAGAAGTAAAAGGAAGCACTTTAAGCTGGACCTTGAACTCACACACACATTCAGTGAGCTCCCAAGACAGTGTTCTGCATGCTTAATGCCTTTTACCAAAAAAAATAAAGAAATAGAGGAACAATTCACCAAAAGAATGGGTAGAGCCAGGGGACTGATAATTCTGTATGCCTATGAAGACTGTTGTCTAGTAACAACAAATAAGTATCTGTCAATATACCTCCGCTCAAGGGCATGTTTAGAAGCTAGATTGTGGTTTCCAAGTACTTATAGCTATACAGGAAATACCTCCTCCAGGTCAAAAATAGCAAACTGAAGAGAACTGGCTGATGCAGTCCTGTTTACTTTTACCATCTCTGTGAAACCCTTTCTAAAGGCCCCCAAGTGGGATGGTATAAACAGGTCTGTGTCACTTCCTGGTTCTCAGGCCTGCTACATTCCCAGTCTGGGAAGACTGCCTATTTAAAAATAAACTCTAAAAACTCACCAAAACCCCAACCCTAAACCACCCATCCCTCTATTTTATTCAATTTCACTGAAATTAAAAGGAGGAGAGAGTGAGAAATGAGACTAACATGACTATAGAGAAGGAGTCCACAGGTCAAAACAAAAAACCTATGTGCTCAACTGAGTTCAAGGTTAAGAGATTTGATTCTACTTGTGATCTGCCTGTGACTGGAAAGTGTGCCCTGGAGCAGGCAGGATGCTTCATCTCTCTGCATAATAGCTGCTTCATCACAGTCTTAACCTCAATGCAGTTCCCCAAACTTCCTGACCCTTAGTTTCCATATCTATCAAACAGTACTAATAACACCTATTTCATAGGACTATTGTATCATAGCGAGAAATTTAAATGTATTTAAAACACTTAGCATAGAGCCTGATACTTAATGAGTTGTCAGAAATGGTAGTTATGGGTCACACAGTGGTGCAATGGTGAAATGTAACGCTCCACATGGAAGGGTTCTAACTTCATGCCACATGGGAGGGTTCTAACTTCGTGTCCATAGTATGCTGGGCACACGTATGCTCATGATCCGGGGCTGATTAAAGTTGGGAGTAGACTGTGGTTCTTGTTGGGGGTGCTATCTCTCTTGCTTATATAAATAAACTTTTTTAAAAATGTGCATTACTGGGCAAGCAAGTGGCATGGTGGAGCTGGATCCCACAGCTGGATCCCACGTGGCTGACTGTCCCAGTCTGGCAACCTGAAAAGCACACCATGTGTGTGTGAGAATGCCCACAATCCCCAAAAGAGAAATTCAGAAGGGACTGCAGCATGACCATCCCCCAGGGGAGGTTGCTTTCTCACTCCTCCCACACTGCTCCCCATCCTGTGAGCTCATGTACACACCAGCAAATTAAAATATATGTGTGTGTGTATGTGTGTGTGTGTGTGTGTGTGTGTTTATCTGTTGCAAAACATCCGTGCATAATTTGTTCATAATATGCATTTTCTATGAATTTTTGAAGTCTCTCTCTCTCTCTCTCTCTCTCTATATATATATATATATATACACACACACACACACAAACACATACGGGTTCCTATTTTTTTCCCAATCTTTTTGGTGTAATTTCTATGTGGCAAAAAATCAAATGTCATTCCCATAAGTTAGGGTGTAAACAGGGGTGTTCAACTTTACCAAGGTCAAGGTACTAAACTATAATTAAATTCAGATGAAATAAATGTTTTCTTTCATGCACTCATTCAGTGTCCATGATGTGCCAAATGTTTAGAAGACACCAAAAACTAATAGGATGGAGTGGGTGAGAACAATAAAGGATGAGGCCTATTTTCTGGCCTAAATGACTGGGTAGATGATAGAAGCTACCACAAGAAAAAAACACAGATGAGCAAGCAGATTTTGGTTGGGAATTTAATGAATTTAATTCCACTTATTCTCAGATGTTTAGGTAGAGGAACTGAAGCATAAACAGTGGAAAGGTCTAGCAAATTAGAAATGTATATGAAACCTGGAAGAGTACTCTGAGGTTGGGGCATAGTCTTGGTATTATCAGTCTGTAAGTAATGACTGAAATCATGCAAAATAGATTAGCTCTTTTAAGAAAGAGAGTTCAGTGAGAAGAGTTTTAAGAAAGAGAGTTCAGTGAGAAGAGAAGAGAGTGTAGGACAGAATCATGGGAAGAATATTAATTTGTTAGGGGCACAGTGAGGAAGGGGAACTCATGAAAGATACCCCTAAAAAGTGCAGCGATTCCAGGAGCCAGTGCATCACAGGTGGTAAGGAAGAGGCAGAGACTCAAAGAGGATGGGAGGAGGAATGGTGGTTCAGCAAAGGTCCAACAAGAGAAAGACTAAAACATGCCCATCAGATCTGGCCACTAGGAGATTATGAAGAGTAGTTCCATTAGAGTGGTAAAGGCAGATCTACTGACTTCATCATGAATTCAGAGTGAGAAAATGGACATAATAAGGGCTGGAATACTTGGGAATACTTGAAAGTAGGGGTTAGAAAAGAAGTGAGAAGACAGACTGGATGATAGCTGGAGAAAATCTATCTTACCAATTGTGCCTTCTTGAGTAACGCAATAATTTTAGTTAAGGCTTTCTAAACTGTCCAGACAGCTCAGAGAGCCCGCCACCCCCATGAAGAGTCTCTAAACTACTATAGGATTTCCATACACTATGGCTGCCAAAAGCTAGGACAGAGGCCTGCAGGTGGTGTAGTGGTTATGGTGCTAGATTCCCACATGGCCGACTGCTGTTTGAGTCCCAGATCTGGTGGCTGGGCATGTGTGTGTGTCCAAAATCCTAAGAAGAGAAGGAACTGTGGCATGGTCATCCCCCCTGGGAGGTGATTTCT